CTGCCGCCGCTGTGCTCCTCGCTGACTGGGAAGTTGGAAGATGACTTGTTTTTAAGCCACAGGTCTTGCAGTTTGAGCTTGCGCTGAGTTACTTGGTTAACCCTGGTGTGAAATAGCAACAGCCTGTTGGGAGTCAATTCTAGAAAAGGCCCATAGTTCTCTACAAAATTCAAGGCCATAGCTCCAAATGAACCAGTGTCACAGCCTGAATTCAACCCTTACGTTTGTATTCTGTACTAATAAAATTAAGAAGGATTGTGTGGGGGAAATGGGCCTGTCGCTTTGTGAGGAATCTAAATGCGCTCTTCAAAGCTAAATGCCTCTTTTAGTTAATTATGTCGTTCCTACAGAGGAGGATAAGAACATCATTCTTTCATGAATGGTTTGAGCAATAAGGAAAGAGCATTATAGCAAGTAGAAAAATCCTGCCAACCTCTCTGAATTAACAAGAAATTCTTTTTCAGTGCCTGGTTCAGGCAACACTTCCCCAAAAGACATGGAGTCTTTGCTGCCTCTGATGAGCATGGTTATCTATTCTATTGACAAAGCAAAGAAGTTCCGTCTGAACAGAGAAGTAAGTTGTATATATTTTTCTGTCTTCCGAATATTGTATGAAATTGCAACTATTACCATTGGATCCTTAATCTTAAGATTAGGAGGTTTATGTTTCTAATACAACTACTAGAGATACTGCATCCTGCTCATGGGGAAATCCGTATTAAATGCATTTGCTTTCCTCTGTGGAAAGGGTAAACAAAAAGCTGACAAGAACAGGGCTCGTGTGGAAGAGAACTTCCTTAAACTGACTCACGTGCAAAGACAGGAGGCTGCCCAGTCCCGCCGTGAAGAGAAAAAACGGGCAGAGAAGGAGCGAATCATGAATGAAGAGGATCCTGAAAAACAGCGTCGGCTGGAGGTGAGAGGGATTTTCAGACTGTTATGAGCTACTGGTACATTTCTCCCAGGGTATCTCCAGGGCTGTCTGTAGATATACCAGCAGTGGCCAACTTTGATTTCTTATTTGCTGGAAGGCAGACAACTTTCAGGGTATATGCTGTTGCTTTCTGAAACATACGAAGGCTCCCAGTGAGGAGCCAGCTCATGTGGTTAGAGATGTGAACCGCAGCACCAGAGGCCTTTTTTTGGTTTGGCTCTTCTGAAATGATCAGCTTGCTCTTTGAGAATGTCACTGATGTTCATCCAGTTCTCCCTCTCCTTGCCTACAGGAAGCTGCTTTGCGTCGTGAGCAGAAGAAACTTGAGAAGAAGCAGATGAAGATGAAGCAAATCAAAGTGAAAGCTATGTGACTCCATTGTGAGAAGCATCTCAGTGCCACCTGCAGAATTTTAATTCACAGGGTACAAAGACCGACTTAACTCCATAATCCTACACTTCTTTGAACACTAGCAGCCATTAAGAGAAACGCTCCTTGCAGTGGTGTTACTTATTTAAGTATTACAGCAACATGCAGGTGTATGTAGAGAGCTTTGTCTTGGCAGTTTTATTCCAGGTGGTATAAATTTTTGCTACTTGTCTGTTTAAAAAAAAAAAAAAATGCAATATTCTTGAATGCTCTTTGTCATTTGTTCTTTAAAAACAGAAGATTGTAAACCTGTCCACGTGTGCTGGTAACATTCATGCTTTGGTTTTTATTGGGAGGGAAGGGGGAGAAACTTAAGGGGAGGAAAATGGCACAATAAACACATTTACTGTGCATTTATTTGCATCAAGCTTGTAAAGGCACAAAACTTAAAGCCTTCCATACACAGTATGGATTCTTCAGGGATTTAAGCCCAGTAGAATAGAAGTGATTTTTATTTTCTTTTTTTACAAACAAGGGCCTGAAACAGTATTAGGCCAGCTGTGGGCATGACTGGTGTCTGTATAAAACATATAGATGGGTTAGATACAAGGGAATGGAATACATGAAGAGTTTCCTACTTGGGGTTTTGAATGCTGCAAGCTTAATACAATGTGAAGTCTGTAATGTCAGCATGGTGTTTCTTCAGGAGTGAGCACGTGGTGAGTTAGCAGCTTCAACTAGCTTTCCTTGAATGTTTTTAACTGTACAAGTTTGCCTCAAAAACTTTTCTCCTGATCTCAGTAGCTGCTGCCTAGTTCACTTCAGCCAGAAGGTAGATTCGGTGAAGTGTCTGCAACTGCCAGTTTCCCCAACCAAGTATAAAAAAAACGTTTCAGAGGACGCAGCCTCTTCATCTGGTAAATGATAACTTCAGGTTTTTGAATATAAATGGGGAGTATGAAGTGAATGCCCCTGTGCAAGCACTTCACTGAGAGCGTTCTGCATTTTATAAATGCTTCCTGTCTAGAAGGCATTTTATTGTTGCTTGTAACAGACTTTTAAGAGTTTTGTGGGGAAACAATGTCTTGCATTTTCTTGTTCAATACTTTGTGCAAACTTGGTTCTGAGGCAATAAGAATGAGCTGCTGTTGGAAACAGCACTTGCTTAAACTTCTTGTTCCAGCATGGGATACTTCACACTGATGTAAATGCAAATGTCTGTAACCTGATACATGCAAATACATTAATTTTATAATGGTTGGTAAAATTATTTAAAACCAAAACTAATGCAGAATATGTGAAATTTTAGCACTATTTAGCTTTAAAGATTGATATGGTATTGTTTCATGAAGTTCTTTGAAAGGAAATACTAGTTTGTGCTCTTTTGAGTAAGTGGACAGCTTTCCTGAAGTCCCATACATTTGTGGGCTGTGGCAGCTAATTTTGTAATATGAAAAACATTCAAATGAACAATCTAATGAAGAGTAAAATATAATTGAAACACTCTACCTGTCTACTTTACTTGCCTGGACTCTGTGTTCCTTTCATCTAGTAGAATCTCGAAGCCCTGTTGGTCCTGGGTAGGTTTCAGTGTAGGTTTTTATACACGCAGCAGCTGGTGTGATCTCTGCTGTGCTGTTGGTGAAAGTGATTCTTTCCAACCCAGAGCTGCTCCTTGTGAGGGCGATGGTTTCTGGGGCAGGAAGGTGTCTCTTCTACTGGTGCAGGCTGGGGTGGATGGAGATGGAGGATCTGTGGATTAGAGATGGATGGATACTATATGAGGGTAACAGTGCCATCAAAATCAGCAATAAAGCTCCTTACCATTGGTTGTGTATTAAAGAGCAGACATTACTTGATTCAGTGCTGGGTGGTATGGTTTGCAAACATCAGGTTTACAAAACTTTGCACATTTATAGGTGATTGATGAGCTTGTTCCACCCACTATACATATGCATTACTATTCTACTTTAGGATTGGCTTAAACTTTTGCTTGCCTTTTAAAAGTAGAGTGCACAAGAATTGTCCAGTGTGTGCTCTGATATGAGCGTTGGGGGGCTCAGTCTGATCAGTCTCTGAGTGGGTGGTCCTGATCTACTCCTGCTGCATTCACCTTTCCCCCAGTTTCTGCAGATTCCTGCCGACTTCATCCTCCTCAGGCAATTATCCAGCTTTGGCACCTTCTGGGGCAGTCTTTTTAGCGCGCTTTTTAGCTCTTCTTCAAGGGCAGAGGTGTTAGTAAGGCCTGCAGAGTTTATACAAAGTCACTGGACTTGCACAGGCTAAAGACAATGGGCACCTTGGTGCTTAAGTCTTGTTACAACTAAAGCTCGGAGTTTACTTATTTTCTAACAACAGAGCACTGGAACAGGCTCCCCAGAGACTCCGGAGCCATTCAGAGCCCACCTGGACCTGTTCCTGTGTGATCTACTATGGGTGACCCTGCTCTAGCAGGAGGGTTGGACTAGATATCTTCAGAGACAGATAACCCTTCCAATGCCCACTGTTGTGTGATTCACTCCC